GCATGTTACACATTTGTGTTTAAATTTAAGCATCATACTTTTTTAGCAATTCATGTTCAAATTATTTTCAATTTTCTAGCGCCAATGAGATCAGTAAAAAAAATGTGCATATCGCATCATTGTATGTAACAAAAAGTTCAACGATACTTGCAGTTAAATTTTGGTCATTAAACAACTTAAAGTTCATTACTTAAACTTATGATACAACCATTCATTTGATTCCATCTTGCACGATAATATTATTCAATTCAGTTGCCAAGGAGTAATCAGATATTCAGACGCAACACCTTCCCTCTTCCAGTCCAAGCCATTAATTCATTCCGAACGCCCTCCCTGCCACTTCCGCAACTCATAGATTTTACGTCTGTCATTCTCTCACCCTCCCCCCACCAACACCCCCTGCTCCTAGACCCTACTTCAACAACAATCACCTCAACCAATCTGCACTCATCCCGAAAGCAAATCTAAACCCACCCCACCCTCCACTTCCCCCTCATCCCATCCCAAGACCTCTTTCCGTCAACTGCCTAAATGAAATGGAATGCTAAGGATAAACTTGTGGCCACCCCCACACTCGGGCCAGGAGGGGCAACTACATCCCCACCACTGCCCCTAATCGATCAACTAATCTGCAATTGTGTGGAGATGGGCGTGCCCTACAACACACGAGGAGCGGGACATAACAAACAAAACCGCCGCCTGGTGGAAAACCGTAGCCGGGCTCAACTGGGGCGAAACATTCTCTTCTACGTCGCCCGGGCATCTGAAGTGCCGGCTGCAGGCGCGGGGGCGTCGCTGCCGCCCCCAGCAGGGAAACCAAACCACTGCGCCAGGCGTCAACCGGGCGGAAATCAGCGAGGGCGCAGCGGCAGGGAAGAGTCCTCGCCACAAGGCGGCGCGTCACTGGAGCAGCCAGCTCTCCGCCGACATGTCGGTGAGGTGATTGCGGGGCTGGCCCTGCACGACCTTACGTATGATACTGTGGAAATACCGAGAGACACAGTGAATGACGAAGCGGGCGATGGCGGGGACTCGATGGCGGGCGCCCCAAATCTGACTTTATCGCCGGCGCAATTTAACGAGTAGGAGTGGTTGAACTCCCTGATCCCATTAGTGCAACAATACCTGATTCGGGGAGGTCAGTCACTTCCTCGGAAGCCGCAGTTAAATGAGTAGAGCAGCAGCAGGCGACGCTCTCCGTTACTGAACGCGGGTCAGGAGGCGCACCGTACCTGGAAGTAGGATATCTGGACCCACAACCGGCTCTAACCGGATCTGCACTGCCGGTGCGCAACGCGAGGTAGGCAGTACGCAGGCCTCGATGGAAGCCGTGGCCGGAATCAGGAGGTAAGGGAACGCTTAGAACCCCTTAACGCGAAACTGGATATGACCTCCAGCGGATCCTTCTGCTGAGAGACACGCGCCCTGCCCCGCTGTGGAAACGCAGGTGGGTCGTGTCACAGTGCCCACGCGGCCTTCACGTCAACGTCCACGGAGCTTGTAAATCGGCCGAACTGCGGAGCGCGGCCCCGACGTCGCCTAGGAATATTGGCAGTGCGCAAGCGAATTTGAGAGGCCCCTCCGCATCAAAATATCCACGGACCGTTCTACTCCGCGTGCCGGCCGACAACGCGAATCGCCATTACGGCGCCGGAGAACCAACCCCGCACCAACAGCGCCACCAACGAAACATATTGCGGGCACTCACAGGTGACGATGGTGCTCGATCAAACGCATGAAGGGGGAGATAGCGGCCTTCAGGAACTGTGTGTGGTTGCTTCGGAGGTCGACTACGAGGGCTTGTTCCTGCAACACGGGACAGCGGCCCCGTCAACTCCGGGGATTTCACAGCGTTAGAGGTCGTCCGCAAGCTCGGCAAGGGCAGCAACTCACATCTGCAGGCGGATCGTCTAACATACGTTCTTTTGCGCACCGTAGCGGAGGGACGCATTCTTACTCTAATTGTGGATCGAGCACTCCGTCTGCTGGACGTGTCGGAGTGAAGACAGTCCCGCACGGTGCTCATCCACAACAACAGTGGCGACAAGAAGGATTGAGCCACTGACGTTAGACACCATTCGCGCCTACGCGTTTCAAGATGTAAGCGGGTTTGTTGTCGGACCACCTCAACGCTTAGACAGAGCGGTACTTTGCCTTATCACCGCAGAAGGGCTTGCAGCCATATGTTGGCGTGCTGGAGCACGTCTATCTTTTAGATAGGGAGCTCCATCTCGTTCACAGCGGTCTGCAGACCCTGAGCGTGGCACTGGTCGACCTGGCCAACGCGTTGGGGTCCGCGCCGCCCTCTGCGGTTAGCGGCGGTGGGTGCGGCGCTGGACGGGGCTGGCGCTGGCGCCCCGTTCCATGCGATCGTGGCGGGTGTTGCACCGTCGTGCCAATGTGACCGCTGGACCCCGCATGTCGGGAGGCAGGCGAGTGGGCGGAGGCAGTCCTTTGGCGGCAGGCGGGAGGCGACCAAAGCCGGGGCCTCCGCGAGCGGCCGGGTGGGCGCGTCTCGGAACGCGGGTGCCATCTGACGCAGAGGGAGATGGTGAGAACGGTCGCTGGGCAGCTGGGCTCCAAATTGCAACCAGGCCCGCGGTTCGGTAATGAGATGACGTGGTCCCTCGCGAGGCGGCTGGGGAGTATCCAGCCGGGGTCGTTCGAGTTTGAACTGAATCGCGGTGCGGAAGGCACTTGTCACTCGCCAGCTAGCCAGCGCCATTGCTAACGTCGTCTGCGAGGTGTAACTGGTTCGCCACAGCATGGGACGCCAGGAGCGGCGCCAAGGTTAGCCGCTGGGGTCTGTGTCAGGCTGAGGCGGGAAGCCTCAGGGAAGTGCAGTGCTGGGAGCGCAGCGCTAGTTCCTCCTGCCTGAGGTCCGCCCCGCACTGCGGGGGACCTCAGACTTCCCTTCCTCCGGGATATTTTTTAAACTTTGTGATAAACGCGGCCCTGCGCGCCCTAGTCAAGCGAGCACATGGGGCCTCCGCCGGTGCTTTCCTACGCTGATAGCCAGGCGCTGTTTGCCGGGCGAGATACAGACCCACCTAACCATGGCAGAAGAGACCTGAACCGTCCTGAGGATAATGCCGATCAAACGCCGGACCCTGGTGACAGGCGGATTGGCCCCCGCACCTAGGGAGCTGGGAGAATCACTAATGTGATCGCCTCAGGTGCCTCTTCTGCTCTGGGAAAAGAAGGATGCTTTCGAGCAGTTTCTCCAGCCGGCCTCTGTTTCTACTCTACCGAAGTGCAGATACGAGAAGCAGATGCTGATTGAGGACGATATGAGGGGAGGGCGGGGATACACGAGCTTCTCTCCCCGACGGTGTCGCGAATGCATTCATATGCACCGCAAAGGACGGTGGCGGCGGGGTCCACGAACTGAGATTCGAATGCGATATCTGGAGCGCGGAAGATTCTCATCAGACGAGACGCTCAGCTGGTCCACACTGCGCGTGCGGGCCTTGTCCAGGAGGCTGCGTACGCGCAGAAGGTTGCAGAGTATCTCTCGGGTGCGCCAAAGGAGCGGACTATCACGTATTCCTCCTCCTGGTCCCGCACCCGGGTCTCCTCGCGCCGCCTCCAGCTCGAGTGGTTCCCCCAGCCTCGCCTCACGGCCTCCCACGCCTGCGGCTGCTGCATGCGGGGACTCGGCCATCCCCGACGCCGAGCTGGATGGACACGGAGACGACGATGACGACCTCTGGGTGCCTACGCGGGGGCCGAGGCGGGATGGAGTGTCGGACGAGGACNCCCCCCCCCCCCCCATCTGGCGCCGGCCACTGTTTCTGCCAACGCGCAGAGAGCGCCCCTGAGGACCGTTCGCTCCCTCCCGCTCTTTAAAAATTTAAATATCTTGGTGACCTTCCGAACAGCACAACTAATCTTACTCCTGACGTATTCATCAAGTCTCAACTCAAAATCATTTAATCTGACTGTTATCCTTGTCTCATCCATTCATACATTAACACATCCCGTTTGTTTTTTTCGTCCAACATTGCTTGAATTTCCTATCCAACAGCACCAATTTTCACCATCTTTAAAACAATGCAAATAGATCGTAATCCTGACTTGGGTGCAAAGTTACAGCTCAAAAGAATGTTTAACACGAATATTAGTACTGAAAATTCGAAATTGTATTGTTGAGATGATGTATTACAGAAGAGGGAGGAAAATTAAAGACTGAATGAGGTAAAATATGGGACATTACGGAGACTACAAAGTTTTATGGGACAATCGACTTGAGATAATGGGACGAGCCCTTAGTTTATGGTACTTATACGAACCTTACACAAAGTATTAATACCAATTCATTTGGGAAATTAAATAATGGTAATTGAAAGTATCTTCGAACTTTCCGTCTGTCAGGTAATTTCTCATATAGTAATTCACCTGGCTATCAAATTACAATACCAATTACAACACTAGTAACATAGATATTTATCTGAAAGTGTTACTATTGTTGTGTCTGTCGTTACATTTGATAACCAGGTAAATTATTAAATGGAATGGTTTCCCCTTTTTTGCTTGAACTTCACGTGATATATAAGAGTATTAATTTTGTATCCCTTTTTAAGCATATTGCGCACACGGAGGAGAGAATTTTGACATAGTTAAAGTTTATATGGTGAAGGAGTGCAGAATGCTAAAATGTACAATTAAATAAAACAATATAGCATGCAGATGCAACCCCCTGCAACCCAACATGTTTTTCCAGCACGAGCATGACTACGCGTAAATTTCGAATGCGGAACCGACCCATGGTTAAATTCAAACTCAACAAAATTTGTTCAGAAATGGGGAATGAAACAATTGGAAATGGACATAGTGACTATTACACTATTGTATTCTTAAACTTTTACATTATAATGCACAATGGAAGTATTAACAGTTAATATTATAACTATTTACTTGCTTTGACATATCCTTTCAATTAGTGCGCCAGAAAATGGAGTTGCCAATAAGACTTTGGACCAATCATCTGGTATCTGTCAAATGGTTTTAAGTTGGTTCCGAGATCCAGCATTATGGGAAAAAACAATCAATTTGGTCGACGAATTTCTGTGCTCATGTGCTTGTCTTTGTTTATAATGTGACACGACTGTTGTTTTGAATATATTTGAAGTATTTAAAAAAGAAATATTTACTACAATTTGTATATATAGTTTTGCACCATTGAGTCAACGATTACAAAAGGAGCGCAGCCTGGACCGATCAGCTCGTTCTATTGTGCAACAAGCACACTAACCATGTTTCGTACATAGTGATAGTTATGTTTGCTAGTGCTTTCCTCTTGAATGACAGGTATAATACTCTTTGTGGAGTTCAATAACTTACTCTTCAATGGCCTTTGTTGTATTTCATGCCACTAGTAATTTATAAAAGGAGCGTGAACCCCAGTGACTGAGGAAAAGTGCGTGTACTATTGGTGTGCATAGATTGCTGTAGCTGCAATGTCATGATACTATTAGTCATTCGACATATGTTCGTTGTATATGCAGAATTTGAGAGTGGTGGTTTTGGAACATTTTGAACGGCTCGTAAAATATTTAAATGGTTTTACCCTTTCATCAGGTGACATATCACAATGTACAGCTTTGAAGGGGAATTTCGTCGCAAACCTCAACAGAATTTGGCTGGTGCCAGTAAAAAGCAAGAAAGAAGTGAATTGTTACAAAGGGCACAAAATGAAAGGCAAAAAAGAGAGGTTTGTAATGCTTTCACTTATGAAATTAGGATAGATATTGATTGACATTTATGCAATGTTAGAGACCATATGATGGACTAACTGTAATTGGTTGCAGGAGCTCCGGAAGCAACACAATAGTACTGTTTTAATTCAAGCATGTGTTCGAGGATTTTTAATTCGACAAAAAGAGAAACATTTACAGAGAGAGATGTTTGATAAAGCTTTTGAAAGGCGCAATGGTCAAACTATTGATTATAATAATCTAGCATATTTGACTCAAAAGTTATTGTTTTTTTATAATGAAAAAACTGACAGCGAAAGACTAGTAAGTTACTTCGTTTCCCATTCAAATTAATATTTTTGGAAGTCAATAAATCTTAATAATGTATTGTATATTTAACTTTCAGATTTTGATCTCCCAGTTGCTTTTAAAACAACATGAAAAAATAATTCATGCTGCAGGAGCTTCAGATAATGTTTGGTCTTGGAGGTTGCAGCGTTTATTACATTTAAATTTGTCCCACTTAGTTACCTCTGTGAATGCAACAAACAGGGAATCTTTAGCAATTCCTCTCAGAACTGTAGAAGTGTTTACTTCTTGGGAAACAAGTGAACGTATTCTCAGCAAAGGAAAGGCAGTGCCTCATCTAATCCAGTTGTTCACATATCTTATGCGAAAAGACTATTTCAAACAAGTTCGTTTTCTTCTCGATAACAAACTGCCTCCCCTTTTGGAAGTGTCTCCTAGTCCTCCCACACCTCTGGCAGGTTGCCTGTTTGAAATGTTGACTCGTCCACTGCAACTTGTATCACAGTCAAAAAATCGAGATTTCAGGTAAGGAACTACTGTGGAATTGTGTGTGTAGGTGTGATGTTATGTTAGCTTGTCATGAATAATGCTACTGTTATGGGTTTTCTCACTTGTTACTTCTGTCTCATAACAGAAGCTGCATTGCAGTAAATCCTAGTTAACCCAAAGTCAAAGAATAATCAGTGTGCTTTAAAATGCACATTTCTGTTATGTGATTCATATATATATATATTTGTATTAACTGTGGTTTCCATTGCCAGGTGACACAAATTTTGATTATGGTGCGGTGAAGGTCATGTAAGGACATGCTTACTAATGGTTACTATATTTAATGTGAATTTTAATTTTTTAATATTTTATTTAGGTTAGCTAACATTTCAGCTAATTTAAAGAACATGCTGTCACTGTGACAGTAATTAAATTGTTGTAGCAGATAGTTTAATATTTTGTGGATATTGAAGGCCAATGTCAAAATTAAATTGTGATGTGTTCTTGTAGTGGAATTATGTATTTTGGAAATATCATAGTGAGTTAAATTCAGAATAATGAAAAACTTATTTGTTAAAAACATTATCAACAAAAGATTGACGCAAGAATTTTTCTTTATTTTTGTAGCTTGCAGGTGTTGCAAGGTCTTGTGCGACATCTTTTGGCTCCTCGCCCTTCAGAGCCAATTCGTCTTTTTGTGTTGCCTGCGCTGGTTGATCTTCCGTTTTTCCCATTTCCTCGATTGGTGGAAGTTCTTGCTGACGGTCCACCTCCTCCTGCATCTGCTTGGCTTCTGTTTGCACTGCTGGCATTGGAACGGAAGCATTTTGGTAAGGGCTACTAGGACAACAATATTTTTGAAGATTTTCTATTCAGATACTCTGGAGAATCTATGACTGTGTGTACCTACATAAGTTCAGAGCAGAAAACAAACAAAAAAATCAACTACAGCCTTGGTCAACATTTGCTATTGTATATAATATTTGCAGGACGAAGTTTCACCGACTCTGGGTCTTAACTACTGACTTAGGCTTTGAAAAACATTTTTTGTGTTCTTGGTTTGACGTAATGTATGATGAGAAAAATCAAAGAGGAAGATAATTAGTTCATAGATGACTAGAGTAATTAAGACTGTTTTTTAGTTTGAATGTAACTACCTTGTCATAGAAACAAATCAATAGACCTTAATTTGTGATTGTTTTACAAAAAAAGAGAAAAGCAATAAGAAATGAAATATATAGTTAAAATGGAACCCATAAATTTCAAAACTATCCCCTTACCAAAGTTCTGTGGTAAACGATTATTCTTGTGTTTACCTACTAAAAATATTACTTTGATTTTATTTCAATGTTTGGACACTATAAGGAGTGTGTGACTAACGAAATATCTCAATAGATCTGTGAACTTCAGAGAGAAAATAATTATGAAACTGTGTGTGTGTGTTTGTGTCTGTGCACGCGTGCATGTGTGTGTGCGCATGTGCGCACCAGAAATCATTTGAACTCGGAGATAATTGCTGCAGTTCTAAATAATTGTGCATGATGTGGTGATCGATCTACTTGTCTTGAAAATCTGTCAATAGCATAGGATCTTTCAACTTTTATGAAGATAATCTTGCAATCCATTTTCATGTGTAGGGAGCAGATTTTGATGACCCAAAATATTGCAAAAAATGATCAATAAAATGTTCTTAAAATACTTAAAAAATGCCCTAAAACAAAGAAAAATGATGTAAATTGTTTTATCAAAACTGCATCACTTTTATCACTGCAGGTGAAGAACTCAAACTGTTTGATATGTTATTTCAGATTGAGACTTCCTTCAAGTAAACTCAGCTTGCAAACTTTTGGTTTGGACTGTTTTTTAAAAGAAAATCTCTGTCTTTATTTATCATGAAATTGGCCGAACTGACAATGGCGCTGATAGGTGTCACAGGAACCTTGGATTACATAGAACACAACAACTGGCGTTACAATAATGAGTAAAGAATTCAAATAGGCTACTCAGGAATTCTCTGGTGCACATTTGCTGCTCCTCGTAAATATTGTGTGAAGAAAGTACCATTAAAATTATATTAAAATTGATGAAATAATAATAATAATAATAATAATAATAATAATAATAATAATAATAATAATAAGAAGAAGAAGAAGAAGAAGAAGAAAAAAAAAAATAAAAAATTACTTATTCTCTTCTCTCAATGACAATTTGTGATTGAGGTGTTCATACAATTCTGTACTTCATTTTATCTTAATGTGAGCAAAATCTGAAGCAGGAGTGGTCATGTTTATGATCAATATATTAAAATACAAATATTTATATATTAAAATCTAATATATCAAAATCTTGTATATCAAAATCTTATATATTAAAATACAAAATTGATAATTATTTTTTGTTATTCTGAATGTCATGTGGAATCTTATGACAAGATTCCAGTGATATTTGTAACTCATGTAGAATCAAAATGTGGAATGGTGCTATTTTGAAATTCATGGCTTCAATTGTTTCCTGCACACATCTTCATTTATTTAAAGTATTTTTTTTTAATCAATTTTCAAAGAGCTGCAAATTAGCTCAGTGGATTCTTCAATGTGGCCATTCTTTCAGATTTGCCTGAAATTTTAATTAATGAATTTTGCTCACTCTTCTTCATATAGCATGTTCCAGCTAAATGAATTTTTATTTTTTGTGATATAAGTGGTGTTCAACACATTATATCATTTATCTACCACCAGAGATTATAATATAATATCGCAAAATTTTGCTTATAATATAAAACAATTATCCTTAACTTTTTCCTACTTGATTATTTCTGATCTAATTTAAAAGAGACATTTACATTTCTTGGACCACATAAACGTTTCTAGACAAAAATGTTTGCATAAAAATACTAAGAACAGTTATTAAGTTATATTAATTAAAATACCAAAAATTAAAAATCTCTGCTTTCTTGATGTATTTTTCTTACAACCAAAAGTTTGAGAAAAAGCTGCTTGAGACACACTATTGGCTTTCTTGTTTCCTACAAATCTTTTTTGTTCAACCCTGAACTCAGTTGCTACCAGGTTCGGTCTAGGATATAGAAGTAGTTTGCTTTATTTTTAATGATGTAGTTCTAGGTCGTGGGAGTGAACATGGCCCTTTACTACAATATCTCCGAACGCTGGCTGCTCTTACTCATGAATTTGGAAAACGTCCTAGCCAACACAATTCTAAACAGGACTCTGATGAATCAGATTCAGATATGGAAGTGGATCCAGCAGACAATGAAGAATTTCAGGTGATGTTTATTGTTAGTTTAATGATATTAATTGTAATCATTCATCCTCTCATTTAATCATCTGTTATTGTGATTTATTTCTAACAAGTAGAGGTATTTTTTGACAGGTGTTGGACCAGTGTGTTGACCTGTTGAATGATACAGCACGCGTTCAACACCTGTTGTTAGCTGTGGAACAGTCAGGCAGTCCAGGAGTACTGCAGGCTTTGTGTCAACTGTGCCACAATCTACTAGTCTCTCATCGTTTGGCGATCCACAAATTTCGGTATGCATTTGTTTTGTTTTTGCTGTAGTGCCACAGTCTCAGACAATTAAACTTTGGTGTGCTTTGGATTTATGATGAATAGCGAAGTTTATTACATAGCAAGGCTATTTGCATTGCACTATTTGTATTTTTAGGATATTCTACATTGGCAAAAATTATGGCACATATTTGCCATCAGGGCATCTTAGGAATGGAATGGAATTACCTAATTGAATCTCTAATTTGGAAAATTTAATGTGTCGTTTTTTCTCCCAGCCCCTGAATTTCTCTCTCTTCCAGCATTTTCATGTACTAAAATTGCAAATAAGTTATGAACTTCCTGTGCAAGCACCAGCTTAAATCCAATTATTTGATTCAAAACCATCATGTGTTGCTTTTTCTTATCAGACTTGACTCTGACAAGAGTAAAATAATGAACTTATTAAAATATTTGACTACATGCAAAATCTGCCTCTATCAAATCCCTATGCATGATTCTTTTTTACTCTAAATGAATCACAACCATGACATGAAGAACCTATCGTCTATTCATATCAAAGAGAGGATTTGAAATCAACCAAGAAAATTTATATTTTCATAAATCGCATTTCATTGACTCACATGTAATTGCATTGAGATGGAGGTCCCGAAGGATAAGAAAGTATCATTCCATATGAGCAGCTACAATGAAT